AGCAGCCCACACCACCCACTGCCAGGAGCCTCCAGGCTCTCACTGCCACCATGCCCTCCATCACCTGCCTGGTGTGACAGGTAGTACTGGACACGGGTGGCATCTCCAACCCCCTGGAGCCAAGGTCTTTCTCTGCGAGCTGTTTGTGTGTGGGGTGTGCCTGTGTGTGTGTGAAGGGTGGGCAGTGGCAGGGGGACAGAAATGGAGCCTAGGATGTGGGGGCAGGGAGGGTTTTCTATCCTTTTGTATCTTTGTAATCAGAGAGAAGAGAAATTTCTATGGTTATTTTTACGGATGGTCTGTTCCCAAGACCTGGAGCATTTGTTTCACCAACAGCCCCTTGCCAGTTTCCCTGGGGCTATGAGAACCACAATCCCAGTGGACTGGAGAGACAGTGCCAGGCAGTCCTTAAGGCTTTGCTGGCAATGCTTTGTCCCATTCCCCCTGCAGGGGCCCTGCTGCCCACCCTGCCCTCCCACTGCAGCTCCAAACTCTGTCTCTGCCTGCCTGGTGTCCCTGAGCCCCTGCAGCCAGGCCTCCCTCTGCCCTGCCATGGCACCACCCTTGGGGCTGTCTGTGAGCTGGGGCTGTGCCAGCGAGAGCACGGGTGAGTGGGGCAGCAAATTCAGCACTGGGAACCTGCTGGGGAGGAGCCAAGCTCTGCTGTGCAGTCCTGTCCTGTCCCAGGGTGGTCCCACCCTCATCACTGCTGGTTTCCTCAGCTCAGCAAGTGAGCACCGGGCTTTTACCCACTGGGTGTTGTGCTCTTTAACCTGCATGTTACAGAACAAACCTCTGTTGGTTTGTGGGTCTGGTAAAGGAGCTGGATGACCCTTGACCTGCTGAGGAGCAGGCTTGGCTTTTCCCAGAGCCAGTCCTCACTCTGCAGAGGACTAACATCCACAGGAGCATGATGTGGCTCCAGCTTTAGGGTCCAGCATTGCCCACAGAAGTTGTATCTAGCTGGTTCCCTGGGGGGTCTGTGTACACCTGCTCTCCCCTGAGTAGCAAAGGACCACAGCTCAGAGTGGCCTGAATTTTGGGAGATCGAGATAAGCAGCACTTTGCCCCCTCTGGAAATTCAGGCTACCCAGATGGTTTCTCTGCTCAGCCTGGGGCCTGACCCCTGACTGTGCTGTGAGATGGCACTCTGTGCCTACCTCAGCCTCAGGCCGGGACATTGGGCTCAGCATGTTCCCTTTTTCACCCCCCAGGTGAAAAAGGCACAGCAGGGCCAGCATGTTCCCTTTTTCACCTGCCAGGTGCTCTCAGGGCTGCATGACCATGTGCTCTTTACTGCCTTACTACCACACTGCCGTGGCATCTTACTGTAGCCCAGCCTGACATGTTTACAGGAGAGGACCCATGCTGCTGTCCTCATGCCTCTGGGCCTCTGGGCTGCCTCCCCGAGTCAGTAGGGAGAGTATGGAGGGAACACAAGGGCTGGTGACTGGGGGTGCCCTGGGTCCCCAGCACAGCCCTGATGAGGCAGGCTCACTGTCATCCTGCTCCCAGGGATGAGGAGAGAAAGGCCTGCTGACATGTTTACATGCCATTTGGGACCAGTGTGCAGAGGGAAAGCCTGCTGGCCCCACCTGCTGGGACAGCCAGGCACCTCCACGCTGCCCATCTTTGCCTTTGGAAACAAGCTCGTTTACAAGTTTCTCTCCAGAGTCCTGGGATCCTGTCCCTGCTGCACTGTAGGGCCCATGTTTCTGCCAAGTTGGGCACAGGGCTCTTTATGCTGCTGCCAAATGGAGAGCAAGTGTCAAGTGCCAAAAAGAAGAGAGCAGCAGAGATGGTGGCCATCCCTGTGGGCTGGTGGCCATCCCCGCGGAGCTGGGCTAGTCAAGAAGCAGAAATCTGCTTCTTGCAGACCAGCCTGCAGCTTGGTCCCTGATTGTAGTGCTGTGACCTGGGCTCTGGGGAGCATCCTCCTTGAGTTTGGATTTTTTCCTTTGGGGGATTTGCTTGGGTTTTGTTTCCTCTCTCTGTCCCCTGACTCTGTGGGCAGGGAGGGGGGAGATGCCCACACCCCCTTTTGGCTGTGTAAAAGTGTATCATGGAAGCGCCAGATTTGGAAATAAAAGTCTATAAAGTGGTGCTGGCCTCTGTGCTGTCTCTCCCTCTGCTGGGGATTCATGACTGGGGCTGTGGATGCAGCACCTGGGCTCGAGCTGCTCTTGGCAGGGGGCTTGGGCAGGAGCTCACAGACAGTTCCTGAGCTGCCTGGGAGTCACTGTGCCGAGGCAAGGTGACACTGGGATGGGGACTTGAGGTGAGGTGGTTGAACTGGGCTGTGTACAGGCTGTTCACCCAGAGGGGGGGTTGGCTGTGGTGCTGTGCAGTGGCTCCAGGCCTGGCTGGCAAGGCTGCAGTGCCACTGTGGCTGTGGTGAGCTGTGGGGCTCGTGCCTGGCAGCTGCCAGCACCCCAGCCTGACCAGGCTAAGGGAAGAAGATCCATTTTTCAAAGGCTGCGTGACCTCAGCAGGGTCAAGCAAGGAGAAGGAAGTGTGGGGAGAGAAGGCTGAACATGATCCTGGTGCCCTGTGTCCTCCCCTCCTGCTGAAGAGGAAATAACAGGTGAGCAAAGGGCAGCATTGATCCACAGCGCCCTGAGCAAGGGTCACCATCAATTGTCATCCCTTTGTCCCCTAGGGGCTGTCATCTGAGCCGCTGGGAGGGAGTGGAGGGCAGCCTCCAGGAGCTGTGCTGGCAGTGCCAGGAGCTGTGGTCCTGCCCTGCTGCCCTGCCAGAGGCTGGCTGGGGGGTGAGGGCCAGGGAGAGCCATTGAGGGGCTGGAATGGAGAGGGGGGCACAGGCAGAGTGACCAGCCTGGGGTGCACGTGGGGCACTGGAGGCTGGAGTGAGGGAAGGAATGGCATGGAAGGGGACAGGGAGCACTGATAAAGAGGCAATAAATGGCATGGGGTGTTATCTGCTTGGGAGCAGGAGCCCTGTGATAGCCTCTCATGTGCTGGGGGAGTGAATAAATGATGGGGAGTAGATAAACGAGGAAGCAGCAGTCATGTGTGGGTGCCTGTGTTGGACATGCCTTTACCTGATCACTGATGAGCAGGAGGGTGGACAGGGAGGGCCAGGGATGGCTTGAGGGAAGAGGCTCAGCCTCACTGAAAGCTGTGGGACTTGGCCTGTGCTCACCACAGAGAGAGAGAGCCAAGGTGGCCACAGGCTGCCCCCACAAGGCACCAGGGATGGAGACAAGTTGCTCCAACTCCAGAGATTGTGGTCCTGGATGTCACTGCTCCTGCTGCTTCTCATCCCCATCCCACCAGGCAGGGGACCCAGGATTCTCTAATGGCTGGCCCTGCCCACTGCCTTCACATCACACCTTGCTACCAGTCAGAAATCTGAGCCTGGATTTCCGCAGCCGTGTCCCCATGGGCCTGGGCCAAACGTGACTCAGAAATTCCCTGCAGCCAATTCTACATTGTGATAGAGCCCAGGGAGGTGTGATGGGTTCAGTGGGACTATAGCGCCCGCGGGGGACCTTTGGAACAAGATAACAGCTGGGTCTGTGCAAATTGTGTGAGACCAGGGTAGTCCACAGAGCACAGCACACCTTGTTCCAGCAGGTAAGCAAGGGTCTGGGGAAAGTACCCTGGATGCCATGGCCAGAGGCTCTGGGTAACCCTCCTTGTCCTGGTCACAGCTCCTGCTCCAGGCCATGGGTTGGGGAGCAGACATCCATGGGAGCCATGGGGGCACAGCAGTGCTCCGGGGAGGCAGCTCTTGGCAGGAGGTTGGCACCAGGTCGTGCCCAGGGGTAAGAAGCCCCCTGCCTTGCTCGTGACATGGGTGGTCAGGCACGGCAGCATCCTGGATGTAGCTGGAGACCAGGAGCTGGGACTGTGGTGGACAGTCCCCAGAATGGGATGGCTCTGGGCACAGTGGTACCAGTGCTGGGTCTGCCACAGCTGGGGAACCCAGCACACCAGGGCACCAAGGGGGGCATAGTGGGTGCTGTGCATCCATGGGGCTGGGAAGCAGGGTGGCTTCCTGGCAGGGTAGGAGGAAGGGCAGGAGGCAAGGAACAACGTCTCAAAGATCACTGGCTGGCTTTAATAAATAGGAGGAAGCTGAGTACACACCTGGTGGCTCCTGACCAAGCTGAGCACAGCAGGTAGGAGGGCTGGGGGTAACACAGGGGCTCAGGCTGGCACAGCCCCAGCACTCAGGGAGGGGATTGTGGGTCCAGCTGCAAGTGGATGAGCACCTTAAGACTGATCAGGCCACCAGCTGGGTGGGCCTGGAATGATGGTGCAGCCCTCAGAGTGAGCCCTGAGCAAGAACAAGCTGTAGATTTGTACAGGGGTTCCTCAGACCCACCATCCCAGCCCTGGGAAGGGTGAGACCTCAGCTCAGCCCTGCCCCTCTGCTCACAGGCTCATCCTGCTCTGCACTGCAGGGGTCCAGGGAGGGCACTGTTGGAGGGATGGTGAGCCGTGACATTTGCCGGGTTTCACATTCCTGCTTCCCTCATGTGTAAAGGGACAAAGTCTGCAGATGGGCCTGTGGGATGGATGGGGCCCTGCCCAGCAGCTGTGCTGGCCCACTGCCCTGCCTTGCTGCAGTTCACGGAGGGGAAGGTGTTGGCACTGAGGTGGGTCCTGCGTGGGCAGGTGGAGAGGGAGCCCCTGAGGTAGCTGTGCTGGCAGTCCCCCCCTGTGCGTTTCAGTGGGGTGGATGGGGCTGCTCTGGGTCAGGAGTGGGCAGCACTGATTGCCAAAGCCTTCCCTGCTGACTGCCTACTGCTCTCCATTGTGAGGCAGTGCTGCTGCTTCAGGACTCCCAAAACTCAGCTGGTGCCTATCCTCAGGGCCATTCCTGCCCACCTGGTCGGCAGGTGGGACGGTTCCGTGGGCGAGGGGAGCTGGAGGAGGGGCCTCAGGGTGAGTGGGATGCCCCTGAGAGTGGGAATGCGGCTGAGCTGTCCCTTGTGTCCTTGCAGTGGACTGGCATTCCGGAGAGCCAGGTGGGCATGGCAGCAGAGATGGCCCTGAGCCACCGAGGGCCCCACAAGGTGCTGAGTGAGGCTGAACTCGAGGAGGTGGCTCACAGGAAACCTCCCCCCAGGCCCTCTCTGCGTGGCTATCTCCACAAGACCAGGTAAGACCATGTGGCCAGTGGGATGTGCCTGGACCTTGCCCCACACAGTGTGAGCCCCACCTTGCCCCATTCTGCACCCCAGCCTCACCACCACAGGGAGCTGCAGACCTGGGGGTTCATTTCCCTATGCCCAGACACCCATGTGCCCACTCTGTCCTCCTGCCTGGAGGGACACCATCCTCCAGTGGATGGAGCTGATGGTCCCACATTGCTTCCCATGGGGCCTCATCCACCCTCACTGATGTCCCCAAGCCCCCTGCAGTTGTGCTCTAGTTCAGCTCCTGCTGCCTCCCCACCAGGTGCTCAGGCTCTGCTGCCAAGTCCCTGCTGTTCCGCTTCCTGCCCTTCCTGCGCTGGCTGCCCCGCTACCCCATCAAGGACTGGCTCCTGGGGGACATTGTCTCGGGCTTCAGTGTGGGCATCATGCACCTGCCCCAGGGTGAGTGGTGCCATGCCCAGGCTGCCAGGGGCCCCCCACAGCTGGGGTGCTCAGGGGTTGGCCGTTGGTGACATGTCTCCCTTCTCCACCTTTAGGGCTTGCCTATGCTCTGCTGGCCGGGCTGCCGCCGGTCACGGGGCTCTACTCCTCCTTCTACCCCGTCTTCCTCTACTTCTTCTTTGGAACGTCAAGGCACAACTCCGTGGGTGAGCTGAGGGACCATGTGCTTGCACAGCAATGGTGGGCAGGGAGCAAGGATGTCCATGGCACTGCATTACCACATCAGCAGCTGGGGGAACCCTTCCTGCCTTTACTTTGCTCCACCAAGAAGGGGGGTGGCCAAGCCAGAGCCAAAGTACAGTGTGTGTGCTTTGAGCCTGGCCTAAGGAGAGAGGAGCTGACCCCTTAAGAGATCCTCTCAGAGAGATCCTGGTGCCCACCTTGGGCTCCCTGCCCATACTCTACCTGTTCTCAGGTCCCTTTGCTGTAATCTCTGTCATGATTGGGAGCTTGACAGAGTCCCTGATGCCCAGTGAGGACTTCATGATGTCTGTCAATGGCAGCAATACAACGATCGATGAGGAACGGCGCGATGCTGCCAGGGTGGAGCTGGTGGCCACCATCACTGTCCTGACGGGTATCTTCCAGGTAAGGTGGTCCCAACCTAGTCTAGCAGAGAGCAGGAGACCGTAACCTGTGGGTAATTTCTGCCATCTGTTCTTCCAGGTGGCCCTGGGCCTCCTGCAGTTTGGATTTGTGGTGACCTACCTCTCAGACCCACTGGTGCGTGGCTACACCACCGCTGCCTCTGTGCACGTCCTCGTCTCCCAGCTGAAAAATGTTTTTGGAATCTCCCAAGGCGAGCCCTCAGGGCCACTCTCACTGTTTGTGGTGAGTGGCGGCTTGCTGGCACGCAGGGACCCCTGGTGCTCACCTGTGGGGCACATAGAGGCCTCCAAAAACCTGCTGGGGAGGCATCTGCTTTCCTGAGCACATTCCCTCCTCCTGTGTTCTCTAGACCATCATCGATCTCTGCAAGAAGCTGCCAGGCACCAATGTGGGCACCCTGGTGACTGCTATCATTGCCATAGTGGCCATCTTGATTGTGAAGGAGCTCAACCACAAGTTTGCTGCCAAATTGCCCATGCCCATCCCCATCGAGCTTATCACGGTACCCAGAGCTGCCCCAGCCTCCTGTGGGGACACAGCCAGGAATCCCTGCTGTATCCCTGTCCCCTTCAGGGTGGGGAGTGGTGGGATTGGGTTCCTTGGCAGCTCCAGGGCATGTGTTCCTCCACCACAGTCCCTGTGCAGGAAGACCCTGCCTCACTCCAGTCATTCTCCCCCAGATCATCGTTTCCACTGGCATCTCCTATGGGGTCAACCTGAAAGAAAAGTTTGGCATCTCCGTGGTGGGCAACATCCCCAGCGGGTGAGCGGGGCCTGAGGGTGCAGGGGGCTGTGCCAGGGCACCATGCTGCCCACAGCACCCCTGTTTGAGCCCCATCTCTCTCTTGAATGTAGGTTGAAGCCACCTGTGGTCCCTAACATGAGCTACTTTGGGCAGGTGGCAGGCAATGCCTTTGCCATTGCTGTGGTAGGCTATGCCATCTGCATCTCCCTGGGCAAAATCTTTGCCCTGAAACATGGCTACAAAGTGGACAGCAACCAGGTGATGCTCTGAGGCACAGGGCCCCCACCCTGGGTGAAAGCTAATCTTGGCCTTCGTGCAGGCAGATGAAAGCATGGTGCTGCCCTGCCACTGCTCTGTCCCTGCAGGAGCTGATTGCACTGGGTCTCTGCAACTTCTTAGGAGGATTCTTCCAGTGTTTTGCCATCAGCTGCTCCATGTCAAGGAGCCTGGTACAGGAGAGCACAGGGGGCAACAGCCAGGTGGGTCTGGGCAGTGCTGCCCCCCTCTCTGGGGCTGAACCAGGGGCAGGCAGCACAGCTAGCAGTGGGGGCTCACCCCTTGCCTCCTGCTCTCCTTCTGCACAGGTAGCTGGTGTCATCGCATCCCTGGTCATCCTGGTGACCATTCTGAAGATTGGAGAGCTCTTCAGGGACCTGCCCAAGGTACATCTAGTCCCACAGCCCCATTGTCACATCCCTCACCTGTGCCTGTCCCATGCAATGGTGATATGGTAGGGGACGGGAAAGAGATTTGCCCTCAGCTTCCTCACAGCTGCAGAAATTTCTCTCCTAGGCCATCTTAGCTGCCATCATCATTGCCAACCTCAAGGGCATGTTCAAGCAGTTCAAGGACTTATGCACTCTCTGGAAGTCCAACAAGGTGGACCTGGTAAGGTGCTGGCCAGCCCTGGGGCTGAGCTCTTGTTCCTGGAGAGGATTTCTCCACCCTCCCTGAGGCTTGTGAGTGCCAGTGGAGAGGCTGTGCTGCAGCTGACTGTGTCCCCTCTCCAGATGGTCTGGGTTGTGACATTCATAGCCACCCTCCTGCTGAACCTGGACATCGGCCTGGCGGCCTCGGTGGCATTTGGGCTGCTCACAGTCATCTTCCGTACCCAGCTGTGAGTACCCCGGGGCTGGGGCCTGTGCCACGTCCCAAGGGCAGGAGGAGCCTGTGCTGACCTCAGCCCCTTGCTCTTCTCCCTGCAGCCCCCACTACTCCATCCTGGGGCGCATCTCCGACACCGACATCTACCGGGATGTGGTGGAATACGAGATGGTAACAGCACAAGCGGTGGGGGAAGAGCTGCCTGCACTGGGGGGCAGCTCAAAGCTCACTGGAAAAAGGGGCTAGGGGCATTTTGGTGGGGGGAAGGGGAGGGGAACAGGTGGCTCCATCCCTGGGGTAGCACCCTCCCCATCTGCCCCCAGGCACAGGAGGTCCCTGGCGTGAAGATCTTCCGCTCTTCCTCCACCATCTATTTTGCCAATGTGGAGCTGTACGCCGAGGCCCTGAAGAAAAAGGTAGGAGAGCCTCCAGCCTGAGAGTGCTTCCTCTGTCTCCTGCCTGCCTGCCTGCCAGCAGCAGGGTGGCGTTGGGGCAGCTGGGGACACAGGGCCACACTGCTTTGCAGAGCGGCATTGATGTGGACCGCCTGATTGAGAAGAAGAAGAAGGCCCTCAAGAAGCTGAAGAAACAGCAGAAGAAACTGGAGAAGGAAAAGGCAAAGAGGAAAAAGGTGCCTCCACTCCTCCAGTGACATCCTGCACCTCTTCCTTCCCCAGCTCTGACACTTCTGTCAGTGCACTGGTGTGGCCTGGTGGCCCACATGGTTCCCAGTTCAGTTTAGGGCCAATGAGTGAGAAAGGCACTGGGACTGAACTGAGTCACACCCCCCAAGGCTGGTAGGAAAGCTGGGCTGTTAATGATTATGTGTTGGAGCTGCCATGTCATTAACCTTTTGCAAGTTAATCAGAATTAAGAGCAAGGGCAAAGGCTGGCCTGGTGCCAGATAATGAGCCTGGCTCTACAGAGTGGTGCTGGGGAGAGGGGTGGATTTTGATACATCTGAAAGGAGCCCAAAAGTCGGTGAAGATGTGAAAGGGGCACCCACTCCTGGGGCCACCCACTGCCTGTGCCCTCATGCAGCCAAAGAGCCTCACCAAGGTGAGCCCGGGGGACCACTGCCATGACCAGGGTGCTGCTGACACTGGGTCTCCTTCCCTTCCCCAGCATGCAGAGGACGGTCCAGGTGTGTCAGTGATTGAGCTGAGTTCAGAAGAGAGCGGTGCACCCTCAGAGCCCACCCTGCAGAGCCTAGGGCTGCCCAAGCCCAACTTCCACGCTGTCATCTTGGATTTCAGCCCCATCAACTTCGTGGACACCGTTGCCATCAAGATCCTGAAGAATGTAAGGGGCTGGGGAGCAGGCAGGACAGCAGCCTCACTGATGGTGTCTCTGAGGCCCTGTGGGGAGCCCCGATGGCTGCTGCCCATTCCTCTTCCTGGGTAAAATGTTTGTTTCCATTTGCAGATCTTCAGGGATTTCCATGAGATAGAAGTGGACGTCTTCGTTGCCAGCTGCTCGGGTGAGAGGGATCTGCAGAGTCATGAGCCCTGGCTGGGCATGGCCACCCCTTTGGCACACAGCTGATAGCCTGGGGGGTCCCCCCATGGTGCTCCCACCCACAGGGTTTCCTCAGAGGATGGGTCCTGCAGGTTGTCCCATGGTGATGACCCTGGTGTCCCCCACAACACAGGAGGCGGGAGGAGGCTGCCCTGGGTGACGGGGGCTCAGCTGGGTGCCATCACTTTAGATGCTTATCCCTCCACACAGTATCTGTCCTGGCCCAGCTGGAGCGGGGCAACTTCTTCAGTTCAGCCATCACCAAGCACTCCTTCTTCCCCTCTGTGCATGATGCCGTGGCGCACATCAGCAGGGAGCGGCACCAGGCCTCGGTGAGCACCCAGCCTTGCTGTCCCAGCATGGCGATGGAGAGGGCAGCCACACCAACCCCTCCCTCTCTGCTCCCTCAGGTGGACCACAGCACCAGAATGTAGCCCCTCAAGAGGAAGACATCTCCCCCATGAGACGGGTGGGCAAGGAAGGCTTTGCCACCCTGATGGCACCAAGTCACCCACCCTAGGGCCCAGATGCCCTGATCCCCACCAGCTCCTCTGGACTCTCAGTGCTGGGGCTCTGCCCTGTTCATGAGCCCTGCTGTGATGGGGATGGAGCTGCAGGATGGAGCTGCTGCTGGCTGTCACACCGAAGAGCTGGCTGTCACACTGAGGGGCTGCCTGCTGCTCCCACACTGCCCAGCCCGGCCTGCCCCACCAGGCCAGGACGTGGTTTGGGGGTGATGGAGGGGCCAAAGGGTTCCTGCTCCCAGCAGCAGGCTGGCATCATGAATAAAGCTCTGTGGTGTTCCCCAGGCTTGGTTTCAATGCCCTTTCCTCAATAATGGTATTTTTGGGCCAGACCATCCCGCTCCACCCCGGTACTGCTGGGAATGGCCTCCCTGTCTGTGGGGTCCCAGCACCCTCCCTCTGGCTCTTTTCTGCCACTTCTCGCCATCACCTGCTCTGGGTAGCAGTATGGGCAGGGATCCCCACCCTCAGAAGGGTCACAGCACCCTCCCTGCCTGCCTGGGGAGCCACCAGCACCTGCTGGCTGCAATCATACCTACACCAAAGGGGAAAGTGCTTGCAGCCAAGAGAAGGCTGATACGGGATTTTGGGGGGCAGGGGTAAGGCTAGTTCCACAATTTCAATATCTAGCATTTGTTCAATATTTTTTTCTGTTTCTGTGTCTTTAATTATAGAGTTCCTGCCTGTATGATGATTAATAGGAATAGTTCTTTATGATCCTTCCCTTGCTGACATCAGTAACTTTCATCTTTTCCTGGTTGTACCCGTGGCTATGCATTAAGGAAGAATAGAAGGGAATAAGTTTTAGGGGTATGTTGCAAGTAACCAGATTGGTAGTTCTGGTTCCATTTCTCATTATCTAAGAAGAACTCAGATTATTTTTGGACTTTTTATGGACCTCTGGCTAGGTTAGCATTAGTCTTTGATTGACCCAGTCAACTTTAGGCTTCTAAGCTCAACTAGTGAATGTAAAGGAGGAAGTCACAGAGCTTGGGTGGTTCCTGTGTCAGCAGCTTCTCAGAAGTAGGGAGATTTATGTTCTCAAGTTTATTACTTCAGCTACCAGATAATGCTCACCCCAAAAGAGGGTGAGAAGGTTGGTTCCCTAAATGGTGAAATAAATGTTTCTGCTATTTGTGACTATCTTGTGTAACTGGGGTTTATTACAAGAAAGTTTGACTAAATGGCATGCATCTGGTCTTGGAGGAACCAGAATATTCTTTGTAGGCTTTTATCAAACTGAGATGGTCTTCAAGGACATAGCACTTAAAATACAGTCATTCCCGCTAGTTTCAGTTCCATTTTTAGGCTCAACAAACGAAATGTGAAACCTCCACCAATAGGGAGGGAAATTTAATTTGACTTCCTCCTTTTTAGGGAGAAGCTAATCATAAAAGTTTCACCAGGATCAGAGCAGGCTGTAAAACAAGAGTGCAATGCAAAAGAGCAATCCTGTCCTCTTAGTATTAATATTTGTAACTGGACTTGAATGAAATGTGTCAAATCTGTGCTCTTGGGTATCACATCAGTAATAGGTACTTCAGCTGCTGTACTTCTCTCCTAAAGCTAAAATATAATCCAAAAAATCGTGATTCCATGGTCACAATTCACCCTGTGATGTTGACAGGTGAAAAAGGAGCAGAAGGTGCAAATTACCTGCAAGTTACTTTAATTGTCTGTCTAAATCATTGGCTGCTGATTTCCTGAAGGTTTCAACAGGTCAGTTGCCCATATTTTTCAGGAGTTTTGGTCATGTTTTTCTTGGGATTCTCTAATCTTTCCCCACTAGTTCAGCCTCTGCTCTCAATCCTTTTCTGAAGTACCTCGATAGCCTGGAAATGTATTGTTTTTATTTATCACACCATAATTCTCTTCAAAAGGTTGTTTGCCTCAAGTGTCATTTACGCTGATTTTTTGCTAGCTTATTTTCAGATGCCGGCAGGTGTTTTGTAATAGCAAGTACACAATCCTATAGCTTGGCTTTATTTTTATTTAGTCTGTCTAGAAAATGGAATGACTGAACATCTCAGACAGGATTTTCTCTCCACAATACATTTCACTTGAAGGGCATAGATTTGTATCACTAAGATCATCTACCTAAAATCTTGGCACTGAAGAAACTAGTGGTTTGCCAAGAAGGGGATCAGTAGAAATGTTGTAGAGCTGCTATGTGCATATTAATGAAATGCCAGACAGTGAAGCTGTGGACATTTCTGGGGTTTAGCACCATGTTGCTGCATTGGTGTCCATTTTCTCAGTGTACCAGTGGCATTTCTGTCTATAAGTATACTGACTAAGATTTCTAGCATTTGATGTAGTTTCCTTACTGTCATTTTAATACCTTCCTTCAGATTAAAGGATGATATAATTTTTACATTTTGAAAATCTCTGTTGGGAAACACTATGCCACAGTAAGCATCAGTGTCCCCCTTTTGTTTTTTTGCCTAGTTTGTAATTTTCATAGACTCATTGAAATTTCTGATAATGTCAATAAGAATACTGTAATTTCTTATACCACTTACCAGGATTGATGCTGATGCCTATTGCTTCATTATATATCTGACCTAATGGCCAATTTTTGTGATCTGCAGTTTGCTGTGATTTGGTAAAAGCTGGCATACACTGCCAACTCACAGCTTGTGTGTTGGGATTTAAAGGGCTGTCATGGGTTCCTTTCTGCGACTGCCACGCACTGGACTCTCACACTTACAACCACTTCACCTTCCATAGGTTGTTTCAGTATTTAATACTCTTTCTTGGAATGTAAGCAATAGACTCCCATTTCCAGGGATTCCCATTTCCGTGACGCCCGTTCCCCGGGACCCCCATTCCCCAGGATCCCCATTCCTGGATCCCTATCCCCGTACCCCCATTCCCCGATCCCCATTCCCAGACCCCCATTCCCGGTACTCCCATTCCCATACCCCCACTCCCGGTCCCCATTCCCGTACCCCCATTCCCGTACCCCCATTCCCGGTACCCCCATTTCCCGTGACCCCCATTCCCGTACCTCCATTCCCAGTACCCCCATTCCCGTACCCCCATTCCCGTATTCCCATTCCGGTATTCCCATTCCCGTTACCCCCATTCCCGTATCCCCATTTCCCGGTACTCCCATTCCCGTTACCCCATTTCCGTACCCCCATTCCCGGGTCCCCGTCCGCGCCCCCCGCGCCGCGCCCTCCCGCCACCAGGGGGCGCGCCCGCCCTCCCGCCCGTTCTGCGCGCGCCCGGCCCCGCCCCTGCGCATGCGCGCGGCGCTCGGGCAGTCGGTCTGCGGAAGAAGAAGATGGCGGCGCGCTCAGTGTGCCGGGCGGGCAGCGCGGCCGGGCGGGCGCTGCTGTGGGGCCCGCGCCCCTCCGTGAGTCACCGCATCCCGCCGGGGCAGCGCGGGGGGGAGCCCGGCCGGGCCGCGAGAGGCCCCGCAGTGCAGAGTGACTGCCGGGCCCGCCTGTGTCCCGGCCGGGAAGGTCATGGGGACGCGGCGGACAGTGGGAGCCCCCGAGCCCCGGAGCAGGGCAGGGCGGGCGGGGAGCAGCGGCGGCTGTCACTGTCACCCAGTGCGGGGCTGCCACCGAGCCGCTCTCTGCCCCGGTACTGGGGTGTGACCGGTTCGTGCGGCTTTTCTCTTGGGTTTCCCCACCTCTTCAAACCTCTGAGTTCCCGGCCCTGCCGAGGGAACAGTGTGTTAGTAGTGATGACAGCCTTTATTTTTACAGGCAGCTTTATTGACTTTGACGAGGAAGCGAGGTGCTGCCACCTATGCCCAGACACTCCAGAATATGCCTGAGACCCAGGTCACCACCCTGGAGAACGGCCTCCGGGTAGCCTCAGAGGAGTCCAATCACCCAACCTGCACCGTAAGCTTAACATAAATTAAGGGCTTATTTGAAACAATCAGCCTTGCCTGGCCTGCAGCTGGTCTTCCAAAAAGGACAGACTCCACTGCTTCTCTTTGTGAACAGATGGGATTAATACAGCAGCAGGAGGCCCAGACTGGTGTTGTATTGTCTTTAGACAAGTTTTTGTGCTGTACAAATTTGCTCAGCCTTTTGTATGAGCAGTAAGTGAGCAGTAAAAGTTATCTCTCTGGCAAAACCAGATGTGGTGAAGCTGACAGAGAAAAAGCCAAAATACGTGCAGGGAACAGTTGCTTGTTTGTTCTTATTTTGGTTCTTGTAGTGTAATGTCCGTGTAGCAGACCCCTTGTCGCTGCTGCTGTGTTTGTGTCATTAGGGTGCTGGTTGTTTTCCTCTCTGATGTTGGTACTGGCTGGTTTTGCTGCCAGGTGGGTGTGTGGATCAAGGCTGGGAGCCGCTATGAAGACCCGAAGACCAACGGGGCTGCTTTCTTTGTGGAGCACATGGCCTTGAAGGTGAGGATGTGTGCCAGCTCTGCACACAGCTGCCGTGAATATTCTGTCCATGCATTAACCTCTCGTTTTGGAGGCTGTGGCTGTTGAAAGAGGGTGTAAACCAGGTCATCTGAGTCCTAGAGTCTTTGCATACAGTATAAAAATAAGTCTAAAATGGCATCTAGCCTATGTGGTGCTTATTGGTTTGAATATTCAGCAACTTGCAAGCATGCATGAAATAAAAATAACTCTTATTTGCTGTTTTTCTCTTAAAGGAAAAAAGTTGCAATTAAAAAGTGTAGTACACATAGAGCACTGTGTTATGAAGCATCTTTCCTCAGGTTAGCACAGAGAGTTCAAAGCAGCATTTCCTGTTGCCATTTATTTTGCTTAGCTTTTCTTACTGGTACAGCAAAGTTCAGAGGCTACACTTCTTGCTTTTTAAATTATGCAGGTGTCTGCTGAACAGGCAGAAGACATCTAAGCCTGGGACTTGCTGGCTCAAGTTCAGCCTGTGCCTTCATTGACAGCTACAGCATTTGGCTAGCTCCTTAAGAGATGGGCCCTGTGTTAGAAATAG